TTATGCGGTTCATAACCTTTTTAAATCTCATTTTATCTTCTACTGAAATTGAGCCGAAAAAAAAAAAAAAAATTGCAAGTCCGCATCTTTTCTAAAAATAATCCTGTGGAAATTATTTCACATTTCAGAGCTTAATATTTAAATTAGGATTTTATAAAATTGAATGAACGTTTATAATTAAAAAGTCGAGATTTTGTTCAGAAATGCAAAATAATGAAAAGCACTCCTCATGAAATTTTATTGATTGCATGGAGAGGTTCCAGTTTCCCTTGATAAGTTGGGGTTTTTCTATTCAATCAGCAATAGTTCTCTTATTTTTGCATTTTAATTAACAATTCCAATTTAATTATTAATTAATTCCGATTATTAATTTCCACAATATTAAATTTCCACAATATTACACATTTGCTATCTAAATTTCACTTCACATTTCATAGGAGATAATTTTCATTAATATTGTTACGTTATTTTCTGACACCAGTTGTTACGTTATTTTCTTCTTTCACGTTCGTACAAGGTTCGTACATTAGGGTTGAATAATGACCACACTTCTTGATGAATTATCGAAACACATTTTATTTAGCCAGTATCAATCAGACATATTAATCAAATCGCGTTTTACAGTCGCTCTACTATAACTGTGCCGCTGGAACAATCAGCGACACAGACTTCAGGTTATCAGGCTGCAACGGTCGAAACAGCTTCGCTGCAAAGCACCAGAGTACAGCTCCCGACTCTGCTCGGTCGTTTTCGGAACTCCATGTACTCTCGAGACTCTCCACGCTGCAACTCGCGATGCACTCGACGACACACAGAGCACAGAGAACCGACTTTTCGGTTCAGTCGTTCCCGGAGCTCAACACACTCTCTGGACGATGCACTAACCGCGGTACACTAAGAGAATCCTTCGGTGCACTCGACGACCCACTCGGCAGTTGCTGCTCGGCTGTCTAATCGATCGACTCCGCACGAACTGACTAACTCGAGACACACTGACTCGCACTTTAGACGAGGCACTCTGACTCACCCTCTCGAAGAGGTACACTCTAATTGACTCCCGGGCTATCAGAGTTTATATAGCTTTCGGCTTGTGTTCGAGAACATTCTGGGCTAAACCGGTAAGAATTCGTTCCAGAAGGTTCTCCAACCGTCCATGGTATATCGTCAATTTTGTCGCCAAATAGGCAATTTCCCGCCAAATGTGGCAACCCTGCCTTCTCTTGCAACCCTACACCTCCTTTGCGAGAAAGCTATCTTACCGCGCCTATACATTTCGTAACAATATATACTCTATTAAATAAATGTAAATGTATTTTTCGTGTTTTGGAAAGGAAAGTGGAGGAATGATTGTCTAACAATGGTGAAAGGGGTGCATGGGGCAAAACCATTGAGTATACCTGCAATAGTGGCATATTTACTTCTTTAAAATGATATTATTTTATTTATAAGCCGACACGTAATAACTTCACTTGTAGAGACATTAGATTATTTGGAAGGGGGAGACATGAAAAATGAGCAATGCCCTCGCCCGAAATCGGACCACGGACATCTCGAATGCGCTCCGAGCGTGCTGACCATTACACCACAAAAGCATGCAAAGAAGGCAGGAAAATACCTTATATACTCCTCCTTTTAAAGGGCGACTGCGAATTAGGGAACTCGGTCGCCGAATCTTGGATGTGAAGAATCATTATCCACCACCTCTTTTTAGTTCGGGCGCCACTGTAGAGATATTAGGTTATTAGGAAGCAAGAGACATGAAAAATGAGCAATGCCCTCGACGAGAATCGAACGATGGACCTCTCGAATGCGCGCCGAGCGTGCTGATCGTTACACCACAAAGGCATGCTAAGAAGGCGGGAGAAATATCTTATACACTTTATAAAGAGAAGGTGAAAAGACTTAATTAAGACATAATGATTTTTTGCATGATCGATTTTTATGAATGTTGGATTGAACCTTTTGGACTCCATAAACTGTGGACTTAATGAACTGTGGACCTTCATGTATTATCTTACGAAAAAAATCTTTGTGGACTTCATTTTCAGTTTACGTATACAAAAAATTTAATAATAATAAATTACAAAATAAATTTCTCACAATAAAATATTACGAACTTTGAATCAAATAAACACACATACGATTTAAACAAAATAACAACTGAATATAATAGATATCTGGTCAAAAGTTGTGCATCTTAAAATTTGAGTATCTGTAGACCTACTTAAAATTTCAAATTAGCACCGTGGAAAACCTAGAATGTAATTGTGTGAAATGAAACGTATGAAATTCTAAAAAATTAATTATAAACTTCAGCGTTCATTAATAGGAAAGCTTCATATCGTGCTGACACATATGTAGTCCTAAGGCGTGCTTTTCGATTCACAGATAAAATGTACGTATCACTGTCTGACATCCTTCTATTCAACCTAATTTAAATGCAATGGTGCCGAAAAGTGTCGACGAAGGCAAAAATCTCACAACCACTGAATTTGCAGTTCTCTTTCTGGAACTGCTAAGTAAGGAGAAAGAGGAATTGGCGGCAGAAACTAATTTCATTGATTATACGCTACAAGAGTCAGGTGAAACCGGCGATTCGATATATTCATCGATTCATCAAATTCGCGTCCAAGGAAATATGAAGAAACGACAAAAAAGAATTAGTATTTAGGAAAAATGACTGTAATTTAATACAAGAAAATATTTAAGGCCGTTCCTTGTATAATATGATTAATTTTGTACAATGATCTGGGGGAAAAAAAAGCAAGAAATAGCTTCTCCGATTTAACAAGAATGCGACACAGGGCTGATAATTGTGTGTATTTAGTTATAGCCACTAGGGCTATCTGCCTAAGGGGAGGGATGCCTTCGTGGAGGACTTTCTAAGGGAAACTGGCTCGTATACACGTTACACATGGGGAAAACCACGAAAACGCCCATGTAGCCAGCCCGTTCGCGGTATTCGAACCGGACTACCAGTGTTCAGCGACTTTACCGCTCGGCCGCTTGTGGGCCAGGCTGATAATTAATTGCAAGGGATCGAAAGTGCCTCTGCCGACATAACATCAACATTGTATTCGATCTTGAAGTCAATTCTATGGAAGTAACATAATGTGCAGGTTTTTAACCAAATTCTTATCCTCTTGATTTATTTTTAACCAAATTTTTACCCTCTAGTCTTTATTATAAACTTCTTTAACTAATTTATATCTACTGTATACCATTACTCACTGCAATATCAATTTCCGCAGTATACCTATACTATCACTACTACGTCCGTATCGACTCTATGACATACCGACTGTATGCCTATGACAAATCTACGCACATAAAATATGTGCATTAACACTTTTTATTATTACTCTATTATTACAATTTCTTTTTTTAACCTATCGATTGTACCCTGGTAACTAACATCAGTCGCATGTCGTTGTCGATCTTGTGCCGGTATCGATTTTATGATACGTCGACGCTACGTACTGTTTTATGCCCGTGTCGAACCTGTGTTGTCAAATTTACACTGTGTAGACGCTACGCAGAGCCTTATGCTATTGTCGACCCTCTGCCAGTGTCGAATTTACGCCGTATCGGCGTTATGCTGTGCTTTATGCTATTGTCGATCCTGTGCCGGTGTCGAATTTACACTGTGTCAACACTTTGTGGTGTCGATGTTACGCACTGTCAATTCTATGAATGCAAGCCAATTCATCTACATTCAGAGTTCATAAGATTCATTTTAGCAACCATTCTAATTTCGAAAATAATAAGCTTTTTAATTTCAATGATGCTTTGATGCTTTGGTTGCATATTCAGGTGTACAGCGGTAATTAATTCCGCTTTTACCAGAGCTTATTAGAGAATCCCAAAAGGGGCCTCAGACTTAAGGGCTCATCAAATTGTTCCACCATATAGGTGTGCACCTTAAGATAATTAATTTCAAGACTGAGTAGCTAAGGTTTTATTTTGAATTTAATTAAACCGATACTATCTGTTATCTTTTATTCTTTCCTTCTACCTCTCCCCTTTTTTTATCTGATCGCTCGTTTAAGAAGTACAATACGCAAATTAAATTTATATAAAAGTTGTTTACGGGAGTTGTTATAGATGCATCAAAACTCGGCTAACTTACAGAATATCCGCAAGATGCTTTTGAGGGCATTTAAAGAGTATTTAACTGATGTAGCAGCATGATTCAATAAGGAACTTGCCCCTGTTTCCATAACTGTGAAATTTTTACTTAAACCTGTTTTAGAGTTTATGAGTATCAACTAATTGACTATTCCTTTAAAGTAGAGTTGTAAGAAGTAGTTGCAAAAGTACTGAAAGTTTATAAATTGCCCATAAGAAATCGGCGAACTTCCCCGTTGTAAATAAGCGTTTAATTTGCTGCTATAATACTTCTGTGTTTATTGAATAACTGTAAATTTCTCTGAAGATGTCCGCAACAACAGCTAGTTAGTATCAGAAAAAAGTACTTACATTTAAAAACTGTACCTTTAAAGTCATTTAAATTCAACAACTATCTTCCTTGACATCTAATCAATTTCTTTTGGGTACAAAAATTACGTTCTGAATGAATTTTGCCAATAACGGAAAGCTTAACAGAAATTTTTTGGCGCAGTTGCGGCAAACCAAAATGCCAAACTCAGAACAAGGAATTTTGCTTTTGCTCGACAATACTCCAGCTTACAAGACTCAGCTTTCTCAGACTGCTATCTAGAAATGTGGATTCGATTTCTTCCCTGTCCACACAACCCGTTAGATCTGGAATCAAGTGACTTCCTTTTGCTCCAAAAATTGGAGCAGTATTTGAGAGGTCCGCTTGCAATACTGTTGATGGATTGTAAAGATGTGACAAAACGTTTTTTTTTTATTGTACTGGAATCCGATGTTTCTAATTCCCTCATTGTTAAATTCTACTTTAGAAGGAGACTACGTGAGAACAAAAAGTGAAAGAAATAAAGTTATAGTTAATACGCGACATTTAAGATCGTACTTACAGATGCCTGTATAAGCAGCTTGAATTCTCGAGATCCGTAATCATAATCCAACGGCTTGTTCACGACCAGAATTCCTTCGATTGGATCCGAGAGAGCAAAGCTATTGTTCTCATTTCCACCCTAAAAAAGAGAATGAGCATAAACATTAAAATGTATTTAGTGAAGGCTAAGTAAGCGAATACATACTGAAATTATTTCAGACATTTTATCTTATATATTATCCGCTGGAGTTATAGGAAAAGCCTAGTTTTGTTTTCGCTTCATTTGATCCAAACAGAAAAATATTTACCACGCGTTGTTATATTTTACAATGGTAAGGCGCTGAAGATCGAGATTTCTTCTTTTACTGCCTTCAAATTCATAAAAATCAACACTGGCCTGAATTCAGACTCTTTGCTGTTTTCTGTTTATTTTAAATACAAGGCAATAATTTATTTCAAATACAAAGTAATAATGCATTAGGGCAATAAAATGTTGTATATTATTTCTTTAGAAGTTAAATAATATTGAAAATTCACGTCAATAATTACATACAACTCTTACATTTCAAATCACTACTGGTCTCTTCATCATGCTTTTAATTTTTTTCCTGCTAAAGTTACGCAACAAGTTTCATCAGCTAAAGGATTATATTGATTCTTTAAACAGAGTATACCAGTTTTAATTACTTATTTCAGTTCCAACTTTAAAGATCCTTCTTCTCATTTAAAATGTTTTGTAAATATGTAATTTAGAACATGAAGCTACCTAAACTTTATGTCACATTATTATAATGATTAAGTACTTGCACAGAATAATTTTTTTTCCTGAAGAAAGAAAAACATGCTGTATCGAAATGTGATGAGATATTTCGTATTAAATTAACATCATACAAACATCCAAAATTACTTTTTTTTTTAAACCTCAAGTTTTAGATGCATGTTTCTCTAGTGAGATATTCAGCACTTTTGAAATTCGGATTTCCGTAGTCTTTCAGTAGGCGGACGCTTTGATTTTAAACAATTCTTAGGTATGCACAAAATGATGATTTTTTTAATGATGATTCTGACAATTTGAAATTCTAATCACAAGTTACAAAATACCAATAGTTTGCTTAAAATATATAGAGTCTCATGTCACTTCACAGTTATCCAAGTTCCAAGTTTTTTAGACCAAATAGTCCTTAACCGCAGTTCTCTGGAAAATTTGTACAAAAAAAAAAAAAAAAAAAAAAAAAAAAAAAAAAAAAAAAAAAAACTGATGTGGACTTGTATGACCTATTGAATTATGCACATTTTTTGCTGCATTTTATTTAAACCTATTTCCTCGAATTTCATTAGAGATAAATTTTTCATTCTATTAATTCAGTTCTCACTTCGCGGCAAAGTAAAAATACATGATAATTCAAAACATCTTTAAAAACTATAAAATGCAGAAAAACCTAAAACATCAAACACACTTAGAACAGTTAAAAACAATTTTTACAATTAAAATTAGAGTTTCTAAGCAAAAAGAAACAATTCGGCCAGCGTGCAAGAAGACATTTTTTTGGTGCACAAAACTTAAAGTTTACCTTTGATACCACTCCGCAAAAAGACACTGAAGGAGCAGAAAGTGACTTAATTCTTTATTCTACTGAGTTCCAAATCTAAACAAATGGCGGTTCGTTAGGCTTAACTCGCCACTTTTAAATTTTTGATAATTCTACAATTATTGCAGGGAGATCAACTAAAGGCATAAAATCCTTAAACGAGACATAAAAATCACATAATTCAATCACTTTTAAAGCAAAAAAATGCACAATTTTCCAACATATAAGAATAAAAAACTAAGCTCACCGAACCAGGTAACAGAGTGGGAATATATATATGTTTGGTGCAGCGGATTGCAACGAAAACGAGAGGTGCACGTTATAGCAGTCCCATATACAAAATTTCAATTTTCTACGGCTACTCGTTCTTGAGTTATTCTAAATACATACATAAGTAAGTATGTACGTTCAGACTTCAAGGGGAAAAAAATGTCTTCTGAATCCATTTTAAATCCATCTTACGATTCTTTTTGACAAAAACAGTTCTTTATTCTGTCCGCACGTACAGATGTCACGCAAAAACATCATTCAGATGGTTTCGATGCATGGTTCAGATGGTTTCAAAATGGATATTTTTCTTGAAATATGATATCTGAAATTTTTCGCGGCTACAATAATTCCTTTACTGCGTACAAGGAAGTAAAAACAGTAACGAATAGCCTCATTTTATGTTAATAAATATTTGGGCTTATCATATTATCCATAATTTAATATACACGTGCAATATATGTTAAAAAATTCTTCGGCTACTGTAATAAAATCATTCAGAAGCATTATATGAAGAAGAAATTCATTTACTGTTCAGCGATTCCATACAAAATAGTGTGAAGCTATCTTTGTAATCAAGGTACAGAAGCTGTAGCTTGTGGAGTCGTATTTCATCTAGAGATTCCTTTACGTACAGGACGCCTACAAAATCAGCCTTTTTTGTTCCTGTCTATGTTTACTACAGTTACTACCCTAATGACATATAATAACTTTAAAGTCGTTTGTCTTTAAGATATCAGATTATTGTAACGACTATTTAGGAAATATTGTATTAGAGACTGAAAGAAAAGACCTGCTTTGCAGTACGTGTCACAAAATTGTTATTTAGTAACTTGTTTATTATTGCTGTTTCTAAAACTGCCACTTACCACGATAGAATAAGTGACGTCGGAATTTGGTGTGTTTGGCTTGTCTTTGTCAATGGCATGAATACCACGAAACACAGTAAGGCCCACTGGAGTAAGCTGTAAATAAAAAACATAGTTAGCAGAAAACATGCACTCCATACACATATAAAACATATTAATACTGAAATGAGAAAGATTTTCAGCTGTCAAAATGCTTTAGTAATTTTAATCAAATGTTTACTGAAGAATTTGTATCAGAAACTGAAGATAAATTCAGTCGTTAGCAGAATTTGATTTATATCAGAAAGTCAAACTTGAGTAAACATTTGATTTTATTTTGAAAGGAAATTAGATTATTAGTTAGCAATTATAGCTACTTGGCTAAAAAACGTATAAATTAATTATTGGTAATTTTTAAATATTATGTTGATTCAGACAATAATAATTTTATCTTCGCAAATAAATTCGATAGTGGACTTCGATTAACGATTTGACGTACTTAAGTATTATCGCAATCTCTCGATGCAATTTGTAAAAATTTCTTATCTGATGCGAGTTAGAGATTTTCGCGACATTTTCTTGGAAAAACTTTCCCAAACTATCGATGAAAAAAACATTTCTCTCGAAATACTTCGCTAATTTTGTAGTGTTTGTCTTCTCTTTACGCATATAGGAATCAGTTTCACTTAAAAAAGCATCAGATAAACTGGTATTGCTTGCCGGCTATCTATCAGACTCATCACACCATTGATCCTTTCAGCGATTTTTCAGCAAAATATTGTATTCCTGCAGGATTTTTACCAGAATTTCCTCCACTGTGGGCAAATTCCACAAGCGGTATTTTAAAATTGAGTTGAAAGTGAAAACGTATCACGATTTGTCTATAAAAACTGTTGGGTCTTGAAACACAACAAAACGAACACATGAAAATGGCGACGCTATTCAACTGAAAGATGGTTACGAGCATGTTTGTCTGAAAAATGCTTGTACGCATGATGTGCCAGATTTTAACATATTATTAAAATTTGGCGACTTCTGCTAAGAGAAATGAGATAATACTGTAATAGACCTTAGGTAAAGAGCTCGGACACTTGTCATTTTGTTATCCTCGTGAGGGGTTCGCAATAACCTCTTACGGTCTACTGGAATTTTCCTCGCTTTGTTCGGATTCAACTGGCGGAGAGTCAGCTTCGAGAACCCCAAAAAGAAAAAAAAAGTTGGGCGAAAGAACATTAACGGGTGACAGTGTCATAAAGATATAGGTAAATCTGGAGATGTCTGCAGAAGGAAGACTAAAGATACAGCTAATACTGGAGATGGGAGAGTAAAGATATACCTAAGACTGGATATGTCTGGAGAATCTAGAGATGGGCGTGAAATGATGCTTTGTCGCTACATTAAAATATGTCACTGTTTTTTTTTGGTGCATCATTTCCGTTTGTGAAAGTGAACATATTCAATAAATGCACTGTGTTAAAATATGCACTGTGTATTCAATAAATGCACTGTGCTAAAATATGCACTGCGTATTCAATAAATGCACTGTGTTAAAATATGCATTGTGTATTCAATAAATGCACTGTGTTAAAATATGCACTGTGTATTCACTAAATGCACTGTGTTAAAATATGCACTGTGTATTCAATAAATGCCCTGTGTATCACCAGGTTTGATAATTATCCTAAATACGAATGACACGATAATTGTATAGATGTCTCACAGTGAATTCTGGGAGAAATATAAGCAAACTTTTCTGGTCATTCATGCTATGATCAGAATATCTTCAAAATCTAAGAAATGTATGGCAAAACTTCGTTTTCTAAAATGCTTCACAAATGAATTCAATATTACGTTTAGAGTTTGGAGGTCATTGGAATGACCAACTGGTATTCAAATAAACACCAATGAAGGCGGGCAGATTTAATTTTGGCTTTTTAAACTAATATAATGAGTTTTTAAACTTTTTGGTGAGATAAAAAGAAATGACATTTATAAACGACTTTTTTAAATTAGGAATTTATCGAATTGAAGATGCTGGTTGACAGCTGTTAAACTTTTAGTTTTTAGACAGCCTTAGGAAACATTTGTGCCTGAAATAGGAATCGTAGAATTTTAGGAAGCAGATAGAAGTCTTTGGTAGATCTGTGAGTATATTACTATCTTCAGATGCTTTTCGGGTGTTAATCTTATTGAATATCAATTCGTTCAGACACTTCGATAGTTAAATTAATTAAATCGATAATTTTAACGAAAATTCTGATTGAGAATTTATTTATAGAGTTCAATGCATTTATTTGACAGTATAAATAACTAAAAACAGAATGAGTATCAAAATAAAATTCATCTAATAAATCAACAAAACATTTTTAAAGGAATTTTATAATTTATACTAATACTACCTTTCAGAACTATAAACCTACCTCGTCCACTTCCAGATAGTAAGGCGTGTTCTGGAATTCTGGGGCATGGTCGTTTATGTCTTGAATATAAACGGTCACGGGCAAGAAGGCTTCATCCTGTAACAAAAGTAAACGGGTTGAAAATTGGGTTATTCGTGTACGATCTATTGATTCCTACATTTATGACAGTCATCAGAATAATACATAAATCCACTCAGATAAGAATGATTAACGTGTTCCCTAAGGTATAATGGGGAAAAATACATTTATTTTAACATAAATAACAATCATTTGTAATTTTAAGTTAATTCGATCTGCAAAATACCCTAAAGACATATTAATATTATCAAGGTCATTCAAAAGTTCATGAGACACAAGAATATCAATCTCAGTTAAAGTGAAACATGTATCGCAAATAATGAGAACATTTATTACATTAGGATTGCCTGCGAATGACGACTGCGTTTTAGTAAGTGCAGTTATTGATCACCATTTGTAATAGTGGTGTAAATAATAATAGTACCATAATACAATACGTAATTCTATTTGATTGCCTTTTTGTTTTTGCACTGCTTTTATTTATTTATTTGTTAATTTTCAAGATTTTTATGTAATAATTTTTGGGAGTACTTTTGTGTAAATGAATTTTTTGCCAAGCATTGTATTTGTAACTGTTTATTTTTGTATAAAATATATACATATTTTATACAAAAATAAGTATATAATATATAGGTGTTGTAATTCTGAAACCATCAAAGTTTATATTCTACAGATGGCTCATATAGAAGCTGAGCTATAGGCAAAACAATCTCTTCTGTAGTGCATTGGCAACTGATAGTCAGCTTGGCGACTTTCTGGCAGTTTTTGCAAAACACATTTTCGGAGTTGTGCCAGCGAATTTCACCGAAATTTCCAGAAGGCCGGGCAACCCGATATAAATATGGCTCCAACAGCTAGTGACAGGTGACAGGTGACAGCAGGGCCGGACACCCGGACGGCTTACAATGACTACTCGGGTGCTGTCCGGACCCTGCAACTATCTGTAGCTGAAACTTTAAATAGACATAAATATAGTAATTTACAAATAGACTTGATCGTGTAATCGCACAATGCGTCAATGTACATAATGCAACACACTAAGATACTGTAAACTCAAAGATAGACACAATACACCAATACACATAATTGTGACACACTAATACGCTATACACCAGTATTCGTCAGTCACTTCAGAATTACTTCGCAAACTAGTTCTGGTTAAAGAGTTAGTTGAGGATATTGGTTGACTAATAGCCCGGCAGTGGCTAAGCGGTAAAGTCGCTGAACACTGGTAGTTCGGTCCGAGGTTCGAATGCTGCGAACGGGCTAGCTGCATAGGCGGTTTACTGGTTTTCCCCATGTGTAACGTGTATACGTGTCAGTTTATCTTAGAACGTCCTCCACGAAAGCATTCTTCCAATTCGGCAAATACCCCTCGAGGTTTTACCGTAATCACATAAACCTACACTGATATCAGTAATCCGCGACATTTTTCATCTGTAAGGGGAATTCGCTTTACCTCTGCATTGCTCTTCAGCTATTTAAGGATGCTTATTTTGGTCTGTATTGTTATTATTTGCAACAAATTCCTAATATCGTCCTGTCATTTGGCGTCATTATTGAAGAAATCTTCCCCAACCTGTGGATTATAAAATCCATATAGCTGTTTATTCTGCCCTGTATTGTTATTATTTTCAACAAATTCCTAATATCTTCCTGCTCATTTGGCGTAATTATTGAAGAAATCTTCACGAACCTCTAACTTATAATAACATACCCTGTAGTTGTTTATTTTGGTTTGTATTGCTATTATTTGCAATAAATTCCCAATATCTTCTTGCTCATTTGGCGTGATTACTGAAGAAATCTTCATTAACCTGCAGCTTATAATAATATAAGCTGTTTAATTTGCTCTGTATTGTTATTGTTTGCAATAAATTCCAATATCTTCTTGCTCATTTGGCGTAATTACTGAAGAAATCTGCCCGAACCTGTAGCTCATAATAATAGTATATTATACTGTTCATAATATGAGACGACTTTCCCCCGTCCCTTAAAACGCCGCTCTAAAAAATGTACTTGTTTTTCTTTTGTTCGGCTTAACTATTATAAAATATATTAATTTAGTTTTCATCTCTTAATTTTTACTTTAAACAATATTTAATTATCTTTAATCATAATATTTACACCTTTTTATTACGTCTCTTATGAAATACATTCAAACAAGCTTTCATTTTTCATTTCATCTGAACCCTCACCAGAATATTTATTTATTACCTACGTCTCTTAAATACCATTAAAATATGAATTATATTGATGAAAAAATGTTATTTTAATATGGGAAATTCTGTAAGGAAATAAAAAAGTAATTACAAAAGCAATTTAATAAATGGGTAATTTTTGGCACATTCTCAAAATTGATTAGAACTCAGAATTTTTTGCCACTAGAAAATCCGGTGGGGGGGAACAATTAATGCTTTATTTTTTTTAATATATAAAATTCTTCACAGACATTTCTCCGCATGAGTAAACAATAAAAACCACTTCTAAGAAACGTTAACATTTGACAGACCAAGCGTGCAAAAACGATACTATGAAAAATATTTCATTGTGTATTTATATACAAAAAATGTGCACACTTTTGCATTTATCTGAAACTTTACCGTTTCTTAAGCTGGCATATAAAAAATGAATTCATGATTTACGACTCAATAATCTTCAGACTGCTCCAGAAATCGCTAGACAACTTTAAAAAAATGTTCTACGAAATGGAGCTTTTTTTCAATAAACTTAGTCAAAAAAGCGTATTTTGTGATAACTCAATGATAATAAGCTTTTTAAGATGTACTGAAAAGTCTTTCTTTTTTCTTCTTTCTTCCTTTTTTTTAGCTTCTCACAAAGAGCTGAGAATAGGTGTATTGACGAATAAATTCTGTATTATTTAGAAGTTAAAAAATGTTTCCCACACATTAAAAAATTCAAACAAGTGAGTTATTTCGATTTATTTTGTGGGTCATCATGTTAAAGACACGTGTGCACTTTCGCCATTTGTCTCGAGGACGCTAGAGAATAAGTACCCAGAGAGTATGAAATTTTTATTTACATTTAGCACACTAAATGCTTTTACAACCCTCCCTTCTCTTCTAGCTTTGAGAATAATGTCTCAGACAATAGTCTCTTACCGTAAAATAGGAACTTCAAGGTCTTGGTAACCTTTCCGCATTTACGATCATATCGTGTTTCAGCACCGCATAGAGGGAATTAGCGTACTTTAACAAATTAGAAAACTTGACCTTTATTCCGCAGCTGTCATTATCATGGTTATGAGGAATGATGTGGGGAAAAAATAGCCTTGAATTGCCTATTCTAAAGTAGCAGGGTATAGTTCATCATCAATAACGCAGCCCGAGTATTCTGATTAACAACTATATTTTTTTGGTTTTTTAATGGCCGGACGCTTTAATTAATAGCCATTAACTTGAAGCCACTACAAGGGCTGGAAATGGAGGTCATTTCTTTATGGAGGCACCTAACAAGTGGCCACCGTTACCTCCTATGAAGGGACGGACAGTTACAACTATGCTTTCTACGGGATTCCAACCCGCACCCATCGCTACGCAGTCGGGGTCACCAACTACTGTACCAGCTGGGCAGCACTACATTGTAGTCGAAGGCAAATGCAAAGAATTTTTTTACAAAATGGGCCGCCACCAGTACCAGTCAAGCAATCAAATTTACTAAACACTGATAATTCAATCCGGGTTCAAATCCCAGCACACGGATTGGCTGTATGGGTGTTTTCCTGATTTTCTCCTTATGCACAAGAATTGAAGCCAGCTGCTTTTAGAAAGCCATCCCTTCCCTTGCGCATAACCTTAATGTGTTTTACCATAACCTAATAATAATAATAATTCATATTGGTTTAAAAGCTGAAGATCTTGTTAAATCGGCGCTGTCAAATGGTTTTTCATTCCTGTTATCAAGCATGCTCAAATTACTCAGCATTCGATGTCTTAAGAATTAATACCGAAGTTTAGTGGTAATTTTCCTTACTTTTTATTTGTTGTTGTTGCTTAAGCTCATTTGTCTAACGTAGTCAGCCCAAGCCCACAAAATTCCTCGTGGCAAGAAGCGCTAGATTACGCTTGTCGTTGGCCTTGAGCATCAAACAAATGGCAGTGCGATTTTGCTCAGTTCCGCCCCGAATTTTGATAGAATTCACAAGAGGATTTTCGGCTCTCCGTATTTTAGAGTGCCACCACGCCGCACCGATACTATACATTTACAAACATCCATGCCTTCTCCGGATTCGAATCCGTTCCCTTGGGCACAGCAGTCAGCGATGCTAACCACTATACCGGTTGGGGGCACTTTTCATTTAGCCGCGCTGTTGGGTATGGTGATTAGCGATGCCTTGAGCCATGTATTTCAACCCAGGTTCAAATCTTGTAAAAGACATAGATGTTTGTAAATATACAGGATGGCTAATGGTTAAACAATGGGACATATACAGGATGACCAATGGTTAAACAATGGAACATATACAGCATGGACAAGGGGAATATACAGGGACAATGGGAACAAACAATGGGACATACTATACCCTATACCATAGATTAAACAATGGGTGTCCACCACACTTCTCCATATCCATAAATATACAAAAAGTGCTGGTCGAAGACCCTTGGTTTGTCCCCCAGTGTGTTCTTTGTCAACATTTGAACGAATCTGGACAAACTCATAATGTCACTTATAAGGTGGCTAAGACCTTGCTAAATGACAGCCGCAACTCCTTTCTTTTCAACCACGGAGAATTGGCGGACCTGATCTAGGCAATGTTTCAAATCAGAAGAATTACCCACAACAACACGACTTTTTTATTTAAACTTCAAAAACGAAGTTTAAATTTTTCTTTACGTTTATTGCTGGAGATATACTGGAAAATCCCTGTAGCAATAAGTAATAATATCAATCTGATTGTTACTAGTAATAATGTAGTACACCACTGTATAGGAAGGAGAACTTTTGGATGTCTCGTCCTCTATAGTTTATTTAGCCAGTTTAAACCGGGATGGGAA